CAGGTGGGTGGCTAGCTTTTGTCCTTGCTGCAGGCTCTGGAGACGGAGAGAGGCTGAGCTCTCACTACCAGCTGCTTTGTCCTTTCTCCTTAGCATTTGGTCCAGGGGCCAAAGGATTGATTCCACTTGGGGTGCTCTGGACTCATGCACTTAAGAAATGCACCTGCTGCGTGTCAGGCACTGTTCTAGGCTTTGGGGCTAGAGCTGTAGAGGCATCAAATGTCCCAGGGAACAGAAAACAGGATCAATAAGTAAATAAAAGTATATCACATGTTAGATGATGAGTGCAGGGTTGAAAATGTCAGGCAAGGAAGGGAAGAGAAAATATTGGGGGCCAGGGAAGGCTCCATGGAGAAGGGAACTTTTGAGTAAAGACAAGAAGCAGATGAGGACACCTCTGTGTGGCTCCAGGGGAGAAGCATTCCGGGAAGAAGGAATAGCAGGGCGAAGGCTCTGCGATGGGAGCACACCTGGTCAGTCTGTGGACAGCGGGGAGGCCCCTGTGGTTGCGGAGAGGGAGACAGGGTTAGGGAGGGAGAGGCATTGGGTCCCACCATACTCTGGACAGCCGTAAGGACTTGAGCTTCTCCAAGTGAGCGGGAGCCCCGGAGAGAGTCAGGAGAGGAGACTCTGGCTGCACCGTGGGGAAGAAATGGCCAGAGTTTAATCAGGAAGCAATTGACCTGATTTCAGGGAGAAAGTACGATTGCCTGGCCCATGGGGGAGTGGCAAGGGTCTGATTGTGGATGTTTATGTTGAGAGAGAGCAACAGGCTTTGCAGGTAGATTGGATTGAAAGATGGGAGGAACGGTGGCCAAGATGATTGCCCAATTACCCAGAGGAAAGGGGAGTGGCTTCAGGAGCTGGAGGGGTGGTGACATCAGGGCTTGACTGTGGGGTGGCACTCAAGGTCTATTCTACAGCCAAATGACATCAACGGATGTCAGCGTTGTACCAAGTCACACATCAAGGGATGTCAGGTCCAGGTTGTGCCAAGCCAGTGATTGCCAAATTCTAGTCATTCCCTCACAATTTGCATCATGTATCTATGTGCCACTTGTGCTATTACTTATTTTTTAAAAATCAGCTGTAATTTTGTGGGGGGTTTTTTGTTTGTTTTTTAAAGAGGATTTCCACTACCCTAAAGGAAAAGCTGAGGTTACTTGCCCTAAGTAGAAGGAAACCAGGCCATGCAATTAATCTAAGGCAATGCCACCCTCTGCCTAGAGTGCCAAGCGGCCTTTCACACCACCAGCATCCCTGGTGTTTAGTGATGTGATCCTGTGCCATCCCCACCTGGTGTGCCTGAAGAAGTCACCACTGGGTGACCCCCTTCTGGGTCTCAAGGGACCATTATGAGCTTAACTGAAGCCAGGAGTAGCCTAAAAGCATGGGGACCTCACTGTACTTCCTCAGAACACTGTTACCCCGCCCGTGTGACCAGGACATTTCATGAACGTGAAACTCAGCACCCACCTCTACTGGGTTTGAGTCTTCACTGCCTTCCCAGCCACACAGCCTTAGCCAGTCATTCAACTCCCCAGGCTCGGTTCCCTCTTCTGTAAAATGGGCCACTGGGAGAATTGAGCGATGAATGTCTTCAGCCCAGCCATAAGCATTCAGCCAGTGATAGTCGCCACTATTAATTACAATGATGCCTGTTGGCATAGAAGACTGCCCTCTTCCCCAGGAAGCAGTTGGAGTGTTCTCAATTCCTTAGAAAAATCAGAAGGTTAGGCCAGGCCTTGGTGGCTCACGCCTGTAATCCCAGCACTTTGGGAGGCTGAGGCGGGCAGATCACGAAGTCAGGAGATCAAGACCATCCAGGCCAATATGGTGAAACCCCATCTCTGCTAAAAATACAAAACATCAGCTGGGTGTGGTGGCATGTGCCTGTAATTGTAACTGCTTGGGAGGCTGAGCAGAATCGCTTGAACCTGGGAGTCAGAGGTTGCAGTGAGCCGAGATTGCGCCACTGCACTCCAGCCTGATGATAGAGCAAGACTCTGTCTCAATAAATAATCAGAAGGGTGCAACACCCAGACTTTCAGGGGTCAGGCAGGTAATGAGAGTGGGTACGGGTGGTGTAAGACTGTAGGGAGTGCTGGGGAGTGCGGCAAACTGGAGAGCATGTATTCTGTGTGATGCTATTTAACGTCAATTTTTAAAAATCCACTCTACAAGACACCAACAACACAAAGAGAGATATGTGGACACCATCTGGTTTGGACTCCTGAGATATGAAAACCCTAGAGTGTAAGATGATATTTTAGTTGTTAATTTAGCTCGTATCTGTTGAGCATATTATGTGCCAGGCACTGTGCTAGGCAGTGAACAAAGTAGGCTGAGCCCTCCCCTTGCAGAGTGCTCTGGTGAAGGCAGCAACATACAAATAAGTGAAATCAAAATGACTCACGTTCAAGGACAGTAACTGCTATGGAGAGACACGGAGCAGGAAAGCGGAGTGGAGAGTGCTAAGGGTCGGGGGAGGCAGTTTCAATACACGCCAGGGAAGTCCTCTCCAAGAAGGTGGCATCTGATCAGTACCTGGAAGGAGGCAGAGGGAGCCCCGTGATCAGAGGGATGAGAGCATCCCAGGCTGGGGCTACAGCTAACGCAGAGGCCACGTGGCCATTATGCAGTCCTGGACTTCAAGGGCACGACCTTGGTGCCTTGATTGGTGGTGAAAATTCAAAGTTGAAGGACCTGATTGGTGAGCAGAGGGCCTTCCCCAGATCCCAGGAGGCGGTGGTGGGTCTGATGCTTGTTTTCCGATCTCTAGGGGGTTGCTAGGTGAGTGGGATCACAGCGATCACATGCCTGGTAGACCCTGTTTTGGTTTCCCACTGCTGTCCTAACAGATCACAAACTGCGTGGCTTAAAACACCAGAAATTGACTCTCAACAGTTCTGGAGGCCGGAAGTCCAAAATCAAGGTGTTAGCATGGCTGTGCTTCCTCAGAGGGCTCCAGGGGAGAACTTTCCTTGCCTCTTCCAGCCCCGGGGGACCCCAGGAGTTCCTTATTCCTTGGCTTATACATGCCTCCCTCCAGTCTCTACTTTCCTTTGAATATGGCCTTCCCCTCTGTGCCTGTGTATCTTCTCCACTTTGTCTCCTGTGTGGACACTTGTCATTGATGTAGGGCTCACCGGGGAATCCAGAACAAATCTCATCTCAAGACCCTCAACTTAGTTACATCTGGATGTCTGTTTTCATGCTGCTGATAAAGACATACTTGAGACTATGTAATTTATAAAGAAAACGAGGTTTAATGGACTCACAGTTCCACGTGGCTGGAGAGAATGAGAACCAAGCAAAAGGGGAAACCCTTTATAAAACCATAGATCTCATGAGACTTATTCACTACCAAGAGAACAGTATCGGGAGAACCACCCCCGTGATTCAGTTGTCTCCCATCAGATCCCTCCCACAACGCATGGGAATTATGGGAGCCACAATTCAAGATGAGATTTGGGTGGGGACACAGCCAAATCATATCACCCTCTTTCTAAATATGTCATGTTCACAGACTCGAGAAATTAGGGCATGGTCATATCTTTAGGGGATGGGGACACCCTTCAACCCACTGCACACCTTAAGAACTGCAAGGAAAAGGGGAAAAACCAAACCAAGGATGGCCATAGAAGGAAGAGAAAGGATTTCCATGGAATATTTCGATCAAATCACTAAGTGGGTACCAACCACAGCATACAACTGAGCATGTACTCTTCACACCTATGTTGAGTACCCACTGTGTGTCACACACAGCAGCAATGCTAAGGATTCAGTGCTGAGCAGAGCACATGGCCTTTGCCCTCCTGGGACTGTTGCCTGAACACAGTAGGGCCCCCATGTAGGTTCATTTGCTTCCTTCCTTCCTTTCCTTTCTTCCTAAGTGCCTTGCTCTGCTTACTGCTTAGTTGAGAAATAAGAGCAGGCATGGCCAAGTGAGGTGGCTCATGCCTATAATCCCAGCACTTCGCGGGGCAGAGGCAGGTGGATCACTTGAGGTCAGGAGTTTAAGACCAGCCTGGCCAACATGGTGAAACCCTGTCTCTACTAAAAATACAGAAATTAGCTGGGTGTGGGGGCTACTCGGGAGGCTGAGACAAGAGAATCACTTGAACCCGGGAGGCAGAGATTGCAGTGAGCCAAGATCACACCACTGCACTCCAGCCCAGGCAACAGAGCAAGACTCTGTCTCAAAAAAAAAAAAAAGAACGGGCATGGCTGAAACCTTGAAGCCTAGGGTATGATCAGTACTCAGAGCTCTGAAGCCCCAGCAGCCAGAGTGGTAGGCCGATAGGTTGAATTTGGGGTGAAGGGTAATGGGTTCCAAGCTCAAAGAAAAGTGGAGAAGAGGCCAGCAGGGTTTGTGGCTGATGGCAGGACACCTCAGCCAGGGAGTACTCAGGGAGAAGGTTTGCCACCAGGTTGGCATGACCAGATTTCAGTAGAAGCAAATAATTCCTGGGAAGATTCCAAAGAAAACAAAGTGTGATCTTCCCACAGTTTACATGGTGGTTGGTTTCCAAAAGAAAAAAAATGTATATTAATACCCTGCGAAAACAATGTTCTGTTTAAAATTTGTAAAACAGTTTGATTCCAGCCTCAGGTCATTTATAAACAGGTTTTTACCTGTCCTGCAGACAGAGATGCAATTACAGTACAGGACAGTGACACTACAGTCACTTATAGTCACTTACAGTCACCTTCAGCACTAAACTCCAGACCTAGACTGCAGGAGTGTCCAGGCAGACTCGGAACTCAGGGTTCTCCCTGACTGCACAGGACTGCCCCACCGTGCAGCAGTGGACCCTGCCCCATCTGCCCTGCAGGTCTGCAGAATGTGCCCTCTCCAGTCCTAGAGATGCCACGTGCCGAGAGCCACCTGGTGCCAGTGCCCCGGATCTTCCACCCCGCGCCTCACTTCCGCCTTCGCCTCACTTCTGCCCTCCCCTCACTTCCACCTTCATCTCACTTCCGCCCTCGCCTTGCAGGTTCCATGCAGGTGATGAACAAGACCCGGCGCATCATGGCGCAGGGTGGGGCACACTTCATCAACGCCTTCGTGACCACACCCATGTGCTGCCCCTCGCGTTCCTCCATCCTCACGGGCAAGTATGTCCACAACCACAACACCTACACCAACAATGAGAACTGCTCCTCACCCTCCTGGCAGGCACAGCATGAGAGCCGCACCTTCGCTGTGTACCTCAACAACACCGGCTACCGCACAGGTGAGCAGGGCGAGGGGCGAGCGCAGCAAGGTCTTTTGCCAGAGACCTCCTCTGGGCGTCCCTGGGTGTGGTTGGGCACCACTGCAGTACCCGAGATGATTCTGGAGAGCCCTTACAGCAACTCTCTCATATTTCAAAGTTGCGCATTTATTTCTGTGTGTGTGAGAGAAGTACATTTTTATTTGCTTACAGTAGTGATGTAAAGTGACCTTGTCAAAGGAATTTGAGTCCCCCAAAAAGTAAGTCTTTTCAAGATATGAATTACAGTGCAGAGAGGCCCCAAGGTGCCCATGCATGAGTTTGCATCTTCTGTTAATTGTTATTAAGCCCATCAGAGACTGTTTTGTTGACTTCAAACCATCAGCTTGGAAGAAGGTTCTGGAACATGGGAGTGGGGTTGGGAATTCGTGGAGAGGAACAGATACGGGTCTGTGCGGTTGCTGTCTACATGGGGGTAACCAGGGTGGTACAGATGCTGACATGGTGGTTGACTGCCCACACTCACCCAGTAAGTGTCATCCTGGGTGCAGGGCCCCCAGTTCCTGTCGGCTTATCCTGCAGGAGGGCGTCAGTGGGCTCCGAAGGCTCACCTGCCAGGCTGGTTGTCTGAAGTACAGATGCAATTATAGTATAGTCACTGACCTCCAGCACCATTGCAAAACCCTCCAGACTCAATTCATTTAACTTGCTTTAACTAAAAATAAATAAATACTCCCCACCTTGGGTAAGAAGCCGCGACAGTTGTGAAATCAAATATTGTGGCTCAGATGTTGCAACCCCAGGAAGTTGCATCCAAGTGACAAGGGGTTTGTTTAGGAGGGAGTGCCGCAAGGGAAGGATGGATGCCTCCTTCAGCCCTGTTCACAGCTCTGAACCTGCAGCCCTCGAGGCTGGGCACCTTCCTGTCAGATACACAGTGTGGGCTGGTAGGGACACAAACCAGCAAGGTGTGTCTTCTTACAGCCTCATCCCACCGCCAGAATCGCCTAGAAAGTACGTTCTGCTGAGAACTAGGGATGCCTCATTCGTATACCTTGTTCCTGTATATCATGCATGCCACTGTGCAGAACCAACCACCTGTTGGTTCCCCTGGGCCTCTGCAGAAAGCCACTTGTGTCAGAGGTTATCGTGGCCACCACCCTAGATGGTTGAGGGGCCTGGATGTTGCTAGCAGAAGCAGGACAGGCAGGCCTGCAGCAGAGCAGTGGGCCCTTATTGAAGACACACCTGCAGCTTGGGTCCAGAAAATACAGCCATGCATACTCAAGAGTGGCCAACCTTGAAATATTTTAAAGTCTGAATATTTCACCGAAAATCTCCTTATTTTTAAATATGCCAGTACAACTTATTTTTTCTTTTCTTTTTTTTTTTCTGAGACAGAGTTTCTGAGGCTGGAGTGCAATGGCACAATCTTGGCTCACCGCAACCTCTGCCTCCTGGGTTCAGGCTATTCTCCTGCCTCAGCCTCCCGAGTAGCTGGGATCACAGGCACGCACCACCATGCCCAGCTAATTTTCTGTATTTTTAGTAGAGACGGGGTTTCACCATGTTGACCAGGATGGTCTCGTTCTCTTGACCTTGTGATCCACCCACCTCGGCCTCCCAAAGTGCTGGGATTACAGGCTTGAGCCACCGTGCCTGGCCTATTTTTTCTTTAATGTATACTGGGAGCCAAAGAAAATATGTCTGAGGAGTGAGTGTGTGGCTCACAGACTCTCTTTTCACAACCTCTGGCTGAAAGGTCAGTACAGAAACCTTTCATTTTGGATGCTGGAAGATTAGTAAAGACCGTAAACCTGTTCTTAGCACTCCCCCTCATTTCACAGCCAGGGCCACTGTAGCCCAAAATAGACATCTGCCCAGAATCAGAGTGAGGTGTTTGTGGCATAATCAAAATGGAATGCAAAATCATGGGAATTCAGAGGGGAACATAGAAATCGTATTCATCAAATTGAAAGGAAACTTACATATTCTGTGACATATTGAGGGCTCAGAGTGGGAGCTAAAGGTAAGTGTTTCAAAATCTTACAGGCAACATGAGAAAATGAACCATCTCAAGAGTAAATATTCTCTGCAGTGGATTCCCAAACTTGTCCTTGAATGTACGCAAATCACCAAAAAGCTGTCTCCCTAAAGAAGTGCTTTTATTCAACTATGCTTCATTATTATACCCTCATGAAGACTGGGAGCATAATGTCAAGTGTAAAGAGCCAGACACAGATGACGTTTACATTTTTGTAAAACCACTACTGAGAATTTTATTCATTATATTTAGAATGCCACTCTGTACAAGGAATCCCATTCCAACCTTACTTTCAACACTCAGGTCCCTGAAAACACCTGTTTAATCTCATGAACTGGTGTACTCCTGGTTATTAAATAACAAGAGCCACATTCCCTGTGTTCTTTCCCTCTTTGCCCTGGCAGCTAGGAAGCTCAGGTTTGAGTTTTATATTAAGTTGTTGTTTAAAGTGGAAACATTTAAAAACCCAACTGCATTATGTGTTATACTGATCAGTGTTAAGAAAAATGACAAAAAACTATAATGAATTCAGAAACCTTTTAGATTTTTTTCTTTTAGATTGATGTGTACACACATATTAGAATATATAGTAAATTTTTAATCCCCCAAGCATCAAAAGTAAATCATTCCTGCTGAGTCTTCAACCATATTAAACCCTGTGTTCATGTGGCCACGTAGCAAAGTTGGATTTAAGTTTGGCTGTGTGTGTGAGAGAGACCCAGGATGTCAGCTAAAATTCCAAGTTGCCCTGGTAGCCCTGCTCTATGAAGTGGTCAGAGACTCACACTTTATTTCTCCTTACTTCCCATTGGTGAGAAACAAGTCACATGGCCATGCATTGCTGCAGAGGGACCTGGGAAATGTAGTCTTACTCTGGGTATACATATGCCCAGATGAAAACTATTTTACTACAGGAGAAGAAGAAAATGGATACTGAGGGACAAGTAAAGTCTTGGCCACCCTAACAGTTATTAGCCATTTGTATTTGTGATACCTGTTTGAATAGAGGAGGTCAGCCCAAACTGAGGAAGACTGACCCAAGAAAAATGCTACTTAAGTGGACCAACATTTCATAATAAATAATGCTTTCAATGTATTTAGTAAGGTATTTGATCTTGAAATGAAACTATAGTATTTCAAGAATAACTCTTACGATATATCTTTTTTTTTTTTTTTTTTTTGAGACAGAGTCTCTTGGTCACCCAGGCTGGAGTGCAGTGGTACAATCTCAGCTTACTACAACCTCCGCCTCCTAGGTTCAAGCAATTCTTCTGTCTCAGCCTCCTGAATAGCTGGGATTACAGACACCTTCCACCACGCCCAGCTAATTTTTGTAATTTTTGTAGAGATGGGTTTTGCCATGTTGGCCAAGCTGGTCTTGAACTCCTGGCCTCAGGTGATCTACCTACCTTGGCCTCCCAAAGTGCTGGGATTACAAGCATGAGCCGCTGCACCTGGCCCTCTTTAGGTTGCATCTAATGGTATTTAACAAAGATTAGACTCTAGTTGTAACTAATGAGTTTATTTATTTATTTATTTAATTTGAGATGGAGTTTTTTGCCCTTGTTACCCAGGCTGGAGTGCAATGGAGCCATCTTGGCCCACTGCAACCTCCACCTCCCAGGTTCAAGCAGTTCTCCTGCCTCAGCATCCCAAGTAGCTGGGATTACAGGCATGTACCACCATGCCTGGATAATTTTGTATTTTTAATAGAGACAGGGTTTTGCTGGTCTTGAACTTCCGACCTCAGATGATCCGCCCACCTTGGTTTCCCAAAGTGCTGGGATTACAGGCATGAGTCACCACACCCAGCCATGAGTTGATTATTTAAGCAAGTGAGCTGATAAAGTGTAGGGAGGAGTACCATGTGTTTCACAAATTTAAATGGATGGCAAGATGATATCCTGTACTTCACCAGGGAAATTTCTGCAAAAGTATTAGAGGATTTGATCAGTTTTTCCAAGGGCCTCTCTCGATTCTTTGACATCTGAATCTTCCCCTGTGAAGTGCATATTGTACATCATCATCCTTCTCAATAGTCTCTTCTCATTCATGTAGTATCTGCATGAACCAGATAATTATCTGTCAGTGGATTTGCATGTGGTTTTTGAGCTATCTTCCAGCATCACTTTAATTAATTTCACAAACCCCGCATCTTTTAAAAGATTTGCAACTTCATTTTGCAGTGATGGGGCTTTGCATTGCCCCATGTTTCCAGTGGAAATTGACAAAGGACAAAGTTGAGAGATGCTAAGTTAAAGCAGGATAAATATCAATTTGTTTATGAATATTTCTCTGTATGGCTTCTTGCAACTTGGGGGACTCGAATCTCAGATATGAGTACCCTTGGAAGAATAAATTGCATCCTCAGGTTTTTTTGTTTTTGGGTTTTTTTTTTTTTTTTTTTTTTGAGATAGGGTCTCACTGTGTCGCCCAGGCTGGAGTGCAGTGGCACAATATAGGTTCACTCCAACCTCCACTTCCTAGGTTTGAGAGATTCTCCTGCCTCAGCCTCCCTAGTAGCTGGGATTACAGGTGGATGCCACCATCCCTGCTAACTTTTTTGTATTTTTAGTAGAGACAGGGTTTCACCATGTTGGCCAGGCTGGTCTTAAACTCCTGACCCCAAGCGATCCACCCACCTTAGCCTCTCAAAGTGCTGGGATCACAGGCGTGAGCCACCATGCCCAGCTGCTCACCTGTATCCTTTGTTTAGGGAGCAAAAAATTCAATGTGTTTTTGAAACCAGCTGCAGTCAGGGTTCCTGTCCATTGGATCTAAAGGCAGTCTATTGCCATGAGCATCGCACATCTGCAAGGGCAAACAGGGCAGCCAGGAAGTGCATTCAAGTGCACTCGCAGAACTCACACATTACCTTCTCAGAATCGAGGGGGACAGAGCCAGAGTAGAATTGCTGAGTGGAAGGAGATGCCTGTTTTCAGCTTTGCGCAAATTGCTCTTCAAAGTGGAGGGACTG